TGTGTGTGTGTGTGTGTGTGTGTGTGTGTATGTGTGTATGTATATATGTACATATGTACATGTTCTTAAATTTCAGCTATCTTCAGGAAAATGTACCTCATTGACATCCACAGAATTGTTGACAATCACAGATTGTTGTTTATACTCCTGCTACGGTCCTCAAAGGTGATCCATTGTACTGGTCTCACAAAAATCCAAAGTTCTTTGTTGTACCTTCACTCTTCAGAAGCTCCAAAAATAGCTTCTTCTGGGTATTCTTTATGGATTCTGATGCTTCAACATAAGGTCAAGCCTCAGCTTCTGTCCATGACCCCTTCAATCCTGGAGCTTCAACAGCCATTGAGGCTGCATCTTCACCAATGCCATCTCCTGTCTTCTCATGGTGCCAAGCCTCAGATTCCTTTCCTGACCCTGCATGCTTACAGATCCAGCACAAACTAGGAAACTATTTCACAACAGCTGCCATAATGAGCTACAGCCTTAGTCCTATCTGAGCTGTGTGCTGAACCTGAGGAAACTCTTTTCCAAAGATTTTTTATCATGGCTAATTCTGAAACCCAGCTGATCAGTACTGATCATCCCAACAAAGCAAAGATTTCACTTTAATGGTTCTGGTCTCTTGTTAGTCACAGATGAATCTTCAGGCCTAGCTGACCAGAACCATTGATTTTAATTCAACATGTCTAAAGGTCCCTATGGTCTTTAAGGGACTCTCAAATTTCCCACTGAAACTTCATAAGCCTGGCCTCGATCTTCTTCAGTGCCTTCATCATTATCTTCTAAGATCTCTCACCGCACACTGATGTCTGGATAATCAATGATTTTTCTTGCCCATCATTATAAATCCTTCAACAGTTCTGCCAAGAATATGGTCAGGTCTATCACAATAGAACCTCACTCCTGGTACCAATTTCGGTCATAGGGTTTCTATTACTGTAATAAAACAGCATGACCAAAAACAAGTTAGAGGAAGAAATAGTTTGTGTCTTTTATTTCCATTCCACAGTCTGAAATTGGAGAAAGTCAGGGCAGGAACCTGAAAGCAGAAATTGAAGCAGAAGCCATGCAGGAATGTTACTTACGGACATGTTCTTTATGGCTTGCCCAGTTTGTTTTCTTATACCACCCAAGACCACCTGCCCAAGAGTGGCACTGCCTATAGTGAGCTGAGCTCTACCACATCAATTATTAATCAAGAAAATGGCTAAAAACCTGCCCACAGTCCAATCTGATGTTGCTATTGTGTCGGTTCAAATTCCCTCTTTTCAAATGCCCTTGCTTAGGTCATATTGACAAAGAGTTAAGCAGGACACCTTCCCTTTCCTTCTTACTCCAGTTCTTCCATTTCTCCAAAACTACTTTAACTCAGTTTATGATGAAGGTACTTACCCTTCTCTTGTTATTACTCTGTAGTCCTTTAGAGATCTCAAACTTGGAATATGAACAGATTCTTCTCTGTTAACTCAAAAGAATTTGACCCAATAGAACACACATGTGCTACACTTTACAACAATTAAAAATTTTAATATTCTACCATATCTTCTGATTTTTAGGGAAAATAGAAAACCAGTGCTTCTATAGCTCTTACCTAGTCTAGGTTCAAGCATTAGTATGGTATGAAACATTCAGGGAGTAATAAGCTTTAATACCTTAGTAAGATCATTTGATTTCCACATTAAATATGACTCTGTCAATGGTTAGTCATATGTCTAGGTTAATTTTCCAAGTTATATATTTTCAAAGGAAACAAATGACGATGCTGTAATTATCCCAGTCATGAGTTTATTACATGATTAAATGAAGTATAACACTCAATATAATTTGTACTACAGTGACACCATGTGTAATGGATACAAGTATTTGTAATGATTAGAAATCTTTGCTGAGAAACACCTACATAATGCACATCTTTGAATAGTCCCCAAAAGGTTTTATTTATTCTCTCTTATTCTCCTTAGTTCTTACTATGTTATTGGGAGGTTCTTGAAGATTGCAGGCATGGAGAAATTCTCTGTGAGCCAGCATGTACACAGTGGATAGTGATTACATTAGTTTGGCGCCTGGATCCAGCAAGACAAAATCAGATCTTTTACTAAATTAGGAAAGCACAGCTTTTTCAAGAAAAGGCCCACTTTGTTTTCCTCAAAAGGTTATTCATAATTGATGATATGCAAGGTCATCTCAATCATCCAGCACCCTAATTTAATGAAATATCTTGTTTACTAAAAGGGGAGGTCCCACAATGACTATTGATTCCACTTTTAATTCAGGCACAAACTAATTTCCTCTGAATGTGAGTTTCATTTTTACAAAATAAAATGAGGTCTAAGCTTTTCCCTTCCTTGCTCAACCAAAATGTACTGCCACAGTGCACAGACTAACTAGATACAACTTATTCCTCAATTAATCAAGAAAATACTGCTTACTAAATGCATGAAGAGAAAACAATGGGTATATTTCAAGTCCTGTGGCTCCTAATTGGAACTCACCTAATGGCCCCACCATCACACATAATGGGACTAAATGTTATTTGGCAGACAGTGAGAGATACAAAATGTTATTAGTGGGCCCTTAGCCAGGAGCCCCAAGATATTGAACTATTGGTGTGAAACAAATCACAACAAATTTATACACATTAAACAATACTCACATATTACATTGGATTTCTAAAATTCAGGCAGTCAGGCAATAACTTACTGAGCTCTCTGTTCAGGATCTTAAAAAGATAAAATCAAAGTATCAGACTATGACCCTAAATATAATAAATCCCAAAAATATACAGGTTGCTGTCAAATTTCAACTGTTTCTACATTACAGAGAGTGTACCCCATTTCATTTTTTCCCTTTTGTTGGAGATACTTTGTTCTCTATTTTTATTTAAATTAGAAACAAGATTGTTTTACATGTCAATCCCAGTTTCCCTCTAACTCCCCTCCTCCCCTGCTGCCCACTAACACCCTAACTATCCCATACCATTTCTGCTCCCCAGGGAGGGTGAGGTCTTCCAAAGGGGGTCTTCAGAGTCTGTCATATCCTTTGGGATAGGGACTAGGCCTTCCCCTGTGTCTAGGCTCAGGGAGTATCCTCTATGTGAAATGGGCTCCCAAAGTCCATTCCTAGATAGGGATAAATACTGATCTACTACAAAAGACCCCATAGATTTCCAAGGCCTCCTCACTGACACCCACATTCATGGGTTCTGGATCAGTTCCTTCCATGCTGGTTTACCAGTGATCAGTCTGGGGGTCAAGAGCTCCCTTTTGTTCAGGTCAGCTTTTTTGTGGGTTTCACCAGCCTGGTCTTGACGCCTTTGCCCATCAATCCTCCTTCTCTGCAACTGGATTCCAGTTCATATCAGTGTTTAGCTGTGGCTGTCTGCTTCTACTTCCATCAGCTGCTGGAAGAAGGCTCTAGGATGGCATATAAGTTAGTCATCAATCTCATTATCAGTGACGGGCATTTAAGGTAGCCTCTCCAGTGTCACTTAGATTGTTAGTTGGTGCCATCCTTGTAGATCTCTGGACATTTCCCTAGTGACTGATTTCTCTTTATAACTATAATGGCTCACTCTCTGATGGTATCTCTTATTTTTCTTTCCTCTATTCTTCTCCCTACACAAACTTCCTGCTCCCTTATGTCCTCCTCACCCCTCCTCTAGAACTAGGAGAAGCCATCCTGAGAGAGGTAACCCAGTCCCAAAAAGACAAACATGGTATGCACTCACTCATATATGGATTTTATACATAGAGCAAAGGATTACCAGCCTACAATCCACACCACTAGAGATGTTAGGCAACAAGGAGGACTCTAAGAGAGACACACATGGTATCCTGTTGAAGGAGAAAGGGACAACATCTCCTGAGCAAATTTCGAGCATGAGAGGAGGGGAGAAGGAGCTAGAAGGACCCCATTACAATTTCAACAATGAGCCAGGATCTGCCCAGAAATCCTAAATGATCTCTATTAGCTCATTGTTTTAGTTAGGGTTTCTATGGCTATAAAGAGACACCATGAACATGGCAACACTTATAAAGGAAAAACATTTAATTGGGGTTGTTGACATTTTCCCAAGTTTAATCCATTATCATCATGGTGTGGGCTACATCTTTATCTGAAGGCAATAGGAAGTAGACTGAGACAATGGGAAAATCTTTTGCAAATATGAGAACTCAAAGCTCACCTCCACAATGACACACTTCTTCCATCAAGACCATACCTACTTTAACAATGCCTCACCTCTTAATAGTGTCATATTCTCTGGGGGACATTTTCTTTCAAACAACCACATTCTACTGCCTGGCCCCAAAGACTTGAAGACATATCATAAAGCAAAAATGCATTCAGTCCAATTTCAAAAGTCCTCATAGTCTACAATTATCTCAAACTTATTTAAAAATATAGAGTTCAAAAACAAAATAAAAAGCTGATTAAATAAGTCTAACATATTATGACACAGGATATATATTACCATTCCAAAATGTAGGGAATGGAGCAATGTGAGGAATTAATGGCCCACAGCCAATACTTAAAAACAGCTGGGCAAACTCCAAAGTCTGCATCTCCATGTCTGGTGTCAAAATGTTCTTCAGATCTTCAACCCCTTTCAGCTTTGTTGACTGCAACATACTTCTTTCTCATGGGTTGGTTCCACTCCCTGTTAGCAGCTCTCCTCAGCATATATCACAAGAATCAAAGATACATTTAAGTTTTAATTATTATGCCTAAGAGGTCAATGAAACAAAAATGCCTCTGATCTGCAAGCCCCTCGGCCAAGGACAGATAGTTCCTAAAATGCTGGAAGCTATTGTTTATGGGATATCACATGTTGTTACTCCCCTGACCAGTTTGTTTGACCCAATTGAACTTGATGGGCTTGATCACATGTGGGCAGGAGATTCAAAGGCAGAAAATACATTAGGATATACACCCGTACCAGATCAGACCTGGTGCGAAAAACACCAGGTTATGGGCTTTCCTTCTTAAGCCACTGCAAACAGTGATTCTGGGCCATTTCACAGGACCTTAGGTATAGACACAGCCAGAGCCCATCCACCTGGCCAGTGTTTAACTAAAGCTTGCTTTAAATTTGTCTTTAAACTGTGGTGATGATCTTATTATCAGTGCGTGAGATTCATATTTTCTAGAGACCCTCAGCATAATTCAAAGCACCTACCAAATTCTAAAGGTGAGCCTTCACTCTGGAAATACGGTGCTGAGGGGAATGTTCCAAGCTCCTGGAGGCATGATCCGTGAGGAGTTCCAAGGCTTTAAACTGCCTTGAGTTTGCAGAATATCAGAGTAAACTGACATGCTGAGAAAAGCAACCAGCATCTACTAAGGTTATCTGGTAAGTCACAGTCTGGTTCTGTTTTGTGGGATAACTATCTGGGATGTGGAGGGGTTTCCATGGGACCCCAGTATTCTTCAGTCCAGGGTGTACAGCAGGGTGACACCTGGCCGTGTGGTTTTGGTTGGACAGATTTTGTTTCTTTCCTGAAAAAAGTTTTGATTGTCTTGGAAAGTTTTGTCTATTTCTTCAGAAAGTTGTTTATGCTTGTTTTGTTACAAAGTTTTGTCTCTCTGTGTTTTCCGATGTGTTCCTAAGTTTTGTTGCAAACTTGGAGCTGAGACAAAAATGGGTCAGATATTTTTTGCTCTCTCTGTGTGCCAGCCACCAGTGACCACATTTATAGCAAAGCTCACTCTTTTTCTATGAGCTCTATGGTCACTTAATTTGGGTTAGCAGGAGTTTGGATGTCTTTGTGGTGTAGGTAACATTAAAATTGTTTTATGCTGTTCTTTATTGGGAAGTTGGCTCTAGAGTTGCATTATGGCTCTTCCTTCACTAGACACAGACATGTTTATTTAAAAGTTTCTTCTATGTTACTCTGTCAATCTCAGCTGCCTGACACATTAACAGGAAAAAGATATAAACCAAAACAGCCAAAAAATTAGACTTGGTTCATGAGAACATTGTGTACCTCAAGATTCATAAGTTTATTTTGATAGGTATACCTAAAAATCTATAGTCTGAGAGGGGGAAGTTAAAACTAGTAACACTGGGAGTGGATAATTTAAAATCAATGGGTAATTTTAAAGAAACCATGTGGTCTACCTCCATTTTGGATTCCCACCCTCTTTAGGCACCACATGGCTGACAGCCATGTTTGTTAGGGTTGGTAAAGATCCATGTCACATCACTTCACCATCTTCATGAAGGTTACCATGTGGAGTGGGACTACCAATGTGGGAATAACAGGTCTCCAAGTTGTTTTGGATTAGGATGGAATCTTGTATGGTAATTCCTGTCCTGTTCTGAAAATAATGTTTAGGAAAGATAGGATTTAAAAACAATACTTATTTAATACTGTACTAAAGCTGAATCTCTAGCTTTAATATTCAAGAATATACTTTGCCCTGGCCCTAAACTTCGTAATTTAAGAGTCACACAGATGGTAATGGGTTTTAATGACATGAAGGGATCATGGGGAAGAACTGAAGTTTTCAAACATTTGGCAGGTCTAGAGTTCCTAAAGAGAGCCCGGTTGCAATGGTAGACCCTAGCAGTTTTGGCAATGCTGATACCATGTGATAATCCCAGAAGCACCAGTCACAATGAAATAGAGGAGGCTGAGATCTAGAAGTCAGACCATCTCCATGCTGCTGAGGGTGGGGCCAAAGAGGTGATCCAAGCCAGTAATGGCTTAATAATTAAGAGAGAACTAGCCAATGAAAAGTCCCAGCCATAATATAATATAATATATAAGCCACAGTGTGTTTATTTTGGGCTAAACAGCCGTGGGACCAAGAAGGACAGAAACTTCGCTTTCACTGATCCATGATGGAAAAGCTTTGATGGAGACATATCATTTAGGGCTGAGCGTTCCACGGTCTCTCACTCTCTGAATAATATCTGGCTGTGGGTCTCTGTATTTGTTCCATCTGCTTCAGAAGTAAATTCTTTGATCATGGCTGAACAAGGGACTGATATATAGAAGAATGCCATTATGCATCATTGTTATTGCTGTGTCATTTTACTAGAATAGCCTTATTTGGATTTATCCTAGGCCCCTGGGCTATCTAGGCTCAGGCGCTTAGTTACCCAAGTAGTGGCAGAAATGACTTACATCTTATAGAGTAGGCCTTAAGCCAAATCAGATGTTTGTTGCTTATATCTATAAGTTTTGTACAACCATTGCCCGAGCATAGCTCAGAGGCCAGACGCCCATTGTGTATGAAAGGGTTTACACCTGGGTGGCGTTTACATTTTCCCTTTGGTAGCATGCAGGGTACCTTCCTGTACCAAAGTTCCTGTACCATGTTCCACAATTTTCCTTCCCAGGTTTGCCCCCATGTTAATATATCTGTGAATTTCATTTCTACCTGTCGTATCTATTATCTTCTTTTGTCTGATTTATTTTACTCTTCTATGCTTATTGCTTATCTTTGTGAAAATCTATCTGGTTTTTCAAAATTCAGATCACCTAGATTTGAGGGGGCAGTATTACAATGATGTCTTATATTTCTGTTTGCAAGATTATCTATTCAAGGAGAAAATATAATAAATATGTTTTATGTAACAGAGACACCACTGCATTAGAAGAAAAAGATTATATTTGTAATTAGAGAAGAAAGTGTTTTAAAGCTCATTATAATATATTGTATTCCCCAGATAAGGGAACCTTCCCTGTATTGCACTTGTGTTTATCTGTAAATAAAGAACTTGTGCATATAGAAAAAACTTAAATACTCCACATGTCATAACAAGTCTATGAAGCCTTCTATAATTCTTAACTATCAATGAATCTTTCATAGTTTGACCATTTTACATTCATGTTTGTGATAGATGTACTCTGTAGTACTGAGTGTCTGGGTACCATTTTTGTACCCTGATAAACATTGGTGACCTTTCTAAAACATTTGTGCCCCAGTTTAT